AGGAATAAATTAATACTTTCCACTTCCATGGAACAATTTTGCTTCTACTTATGCAGTAAATTTCCTCATGAGATTTCATGGAAACATATGTTCTTCTTGCTGTTAGCTGCCCTCAACTCATAGTGACCTCAGGACAACTGGATTAGGCCAGTGTGATCCATAGGGTTACACTGGCTAATTTTTTTAAGAAATAGGCCTTTCTTCCTAATCTGTCTTTGTTTGGAAGCTCCACTGAAACTTGTTCTGCATCGTAGCAACATGTATGCCTCCACTGACAGATGGGTGGTAGCACTTAAAGTACTTCACTAAGGAATTGAACCACATACTCCCAGCTGGAAGGCCCAAATTCTACCAGGGAACCACCACTGCCACCTAAACATAGGATAGTTGTCTAGTGCATAACCCTTTGCACAACCCAGGGACTTCAAGAATATGATACTATGGTTGAAAAAAATTTGAAAATCAGTGGTGTGTGATAATACACAAATATTTTACTGTTGTTGATACAATGTCTTCAGTTTCAACACTACTCTTCAAACAAAACCTTCCCCTGTAATTTTCTCTTCAAAAGATTACCTGTAGGTGTATGTTAATGGTGTTTGGGTTGGGCCTGACCTCCTGAAATGCCCACACAGTGTCTGGAAATTTTAAGACAAATATAAATATTTATTCTTTTTTGCTGTGTTTGCTCTTGCATTCATCTGGCATCAGCAGAAGGTTACTGACATTGCCAGAGGCATACTCATGGGCAAAATTAGCCCAAGGCCAGTAGGAAAGGTTAACTATCTTAGAGAGTACATAACTGTACATACAGTTAAAAATAGGCATAATAAAATGCTTAACTGCTTCAATTGGCAATTAAAATTATAAAAAAATTTAAAGCCTTATAAATACCTTTATTTCTTTTACTGAAAATAGTTAAAATGGATTACTTGAATCAGGAAATATTTAATATTACTGCTGTTTAGTTTCTGGCAGGGTTAAAAATATTAAATATATTTCTGTAAAAAAAACCTCCATAATTTCTCAGGTATAATAAAATGACAATTTTAACTTTGGCTTTAGGGAACAAACTAAGTAGTTCTTAGTTCTAAAATTCTTTTTATATTTTTCTAAAGAAAACAATATTCTCAGATGCTTTAAATGGCTTTGATTTATCAGCTTATTGATATTAATTTGCTGAAAAATTAATTTTCAAGCCTGAAAAATTGTTTATTATAGTGTATGCTGTCTTTTTTTTTAATCTAGTAATTTTTCCTAGCTTTTTTAAAAATCTAGTAACATCATTAGAGTAATATGCAAAATGTATTAAAGTGTCAGAATAAATACTAGTGGCCACTGGTATCAAAAAATTCCTGTAAAAAATTTCCATAGCTTATTCTGAAAACAAAAAAAAACAATGCTTTCTTATCAAATGTTTCATAGAAATAGGTGTGTAATTAAATTCATGAAATACATGCAATAAAATATAAAATTACTTCCAGAGTTGAAGTTGACTTAATAACTCCCTGAGAAACACTAGATGAACTCTTCATTCCAATAATTTGTTTAAAAAAGGTACAAAAATACATGTTAGGGAGAAAGAAGAAAGCATTGCATACCTGATACAAAAGTGTGTCCAACATACTGATGCTAAACACCCTTCCAGCAGCAAAAGGTAGTCGAAACATAAAGGCCAAATTAGAACCTCTTTCTCGTTCTTTCTGCTCAGAAATTCAAGATAGAAAAATTTGTAAGTATTTTGTGTTTTTTGTATTTCTGCCAACTTAAGCACTTCTGACATATGTGACAAAAGATATTCCCATCATATGATTCTCAGCTATGAATGTGTCATTACTTCACTTATCATTGTATTTAAAAAAAAAAAAATCTTTAATTTTCATAACCAAAATTTTCGTAACCAATTAAAACTCAAATATTTCATAGTTTACAAGGGTTCATCTTTTCATATGATAAACATTTATCCTTCATACATCGTTCATGAAAATGATTTAGATGACATGAAAGAAACAAACAAAATAAAATTATTTAACCAAATTTTAAATAAAGCCATAATAATGTATAATAATACTTAGAAAATTTACTTTTGAATATTTGCAAATATGAGGTCACACATACAGAAAAAAAGGCAGATAGGAGCCATCCCATCCAACAGTTTCTAGCATTCATCTCTCGGGCTGCCTTTACGTTGTGTCAGCTACACCAATAGGTAGCTAAGCTTCTATAAATTAGAAACAAAGAAATGTTTTCGTGTGTATGTGAGTGTGTGTTATATGCATGAGAGCTTCTTTTAAAAAATTCTGTTATTATCTTGCCTCAATAAATGAAGGCATGAGAGGAAGTATCAAATTTGTGTACAGCTGGAAAGAGTTTTCTAAGAATGCGAATGAACTTTGCACTTATCAACAATCACTAACCATAAAAATGTGCTAGTTTCTATTGTTACCAAATTTTCTTTACTAGGCAAAAATAGATTTAGCTAAGCAAATAAGAATTCAGGCCTCATTTCTGTTGAGGCAATGGAAGAAGTAAGCCTCTATTTCTAATATAACAAATATGAAGGATATGAAGAGAAGTCTTCCATTCACCCCATGTGAATAACAGGTGGCCGGGAGCATTGTTGAAAAAATGAGTGTTGGAGATAAAGGAGGGCTGCTGCTATTGCTTATTTTGATGATGTATGTGACACCTGAGCTTCTCCAGGGACAAAAAGATGAAGTTGGGGTTCAGCAGAAGCCAAAATGACAAGAGAAGCTACTCTTATCACTTCCATCATGTCTATCTGACTGAGAAAAATGTTCAGACCATAGTATCCTCACTTGAGATGTAGAAAACAGTAAACAGAGAGGCAGGCAAGTGGAGCCCCTATTTTCATCATCATAATATCTTAATTTATAGGCTAATAAAATTAGTTAGCCTAGGTGTCAATAGTGCTTAATTTGAACAGCTCCCATAAGAGTCTTAGAGACAAAAGGAATTAAGCTGTTTTTATTGAAGGGATAGGCAGGCTTTCTTCTGAATTTGGTGCCAAATCTAGTCCTAGAGGTGTGGCAAACATCCAAAGGAAACCAAAACCATCTTATCTTAAGCTCATGTTAAAGCAAGTATCAAGAATATAGTGCCAGGACCCCTAAGGATTTTAATTTCAGGATCTGTCCTGGGCCAGGTGGGAAAGATTGTTGGGTTTTCTCATAGATTATCCATAGTCTTATTTTCAAAGCCTTGATGGCCCAACTCCATATGGATAGGATTAATGATCCAAGGGTCATCCTCCCTCTTTATTGTTTTAGTCTTCTAGTCAGTTAGGGGCAGGGGACACAAGGCAAGGTAAATTGTTAGGTTTTGCATTTTTTCTTATCTCCTAATTTTCTATCACATTTCCTTCTTCTTTTTAAGTGTTAGATATAGTTGGAGTAGAACTAAATGAGAATTAAATGCAGAATGAATTTGTTCATATTTAGACCAAGAGTTTAAATATGGTAGTGCTTTGATGGTGGCACTAGAGAGGTTTAGGAGAGTTCTCTGACGGTGATTATGTGTGTGTGTGATAGGGTGGGAGGCAGAAGAAGGCCCAATAGTAGGCAAAAATGGAGATCTAGAGAAGACTTGGACACAACAGATTTTTATAAGTAGAGGAAGATATGATGTCAAACAATGTACAAAATCAAGTGGGAAAAGCCATGGTTTAGTAATTAGAACATTATTCCAACTCTGACTTTCTTCTTTCTACCCTTTCAGTGTATAACCACCTAATCTCTGGCTTTAAATATTTCATCCAGGAATCTGTTACGTATTGAATTATGTCCCCTAAAAAGATATGTTGAAGTTCCAACATATCCCAGTGAATATGACCTTGTTTGAGTTTTATTATGTTATCAGTTATGTTAACATGAGGTACTACCAGAATAGTGTGGTCCTTAATCCCTTCTGAATGCTGGGCTTATAAAAGAGAACAGACATAGGTAGACAGAGGAAGGGCACTGCTACAAGCCAAGGAAGATACCAGAAGCTAGCAGACAGGCATGGAACAGATTCTCTCTCTCAAAGCCATATAAGATACTAACTTGGCCATCACCCTGATCGAAGACTCTCAACCTCCAGAACTGTGAGACAAGAAATTTCTTCTTTTTAAGACCATCTACTTTGTGGTATTTTGTTACTGCAGTCCTAGGAAAGGAATAAAACTCCCAAATTCATAAATTAGCTCATCCATCTTTCCCCAACTCTACTTCTGAGTATTTTCCTATAAACTTAATTTCAAGTTTCAAAAATAAACTCATTATCATTTAGTGGCATAGTACCTAAGGTATTTGACTGCTAACCAGGAGGCTGGTGGTTCAAACCCACCAGCCACTCCTCAGAAAGAAGGTGGGCAATCTACGTCTGTAACAATACCACCTAGGAAACCCAAGGAGGGGTCGCTATGAGTCAGATCGGATTTGACAGCAGTGAATTTGGTTTTGGTTATCATGCTTCAACAAAAGGGGTAAAAATTCTACTCTCTCCCTCTCCTACCGTTTTTCATCTCCCTCCATTTATCAAATTTCCAAATTCTATCACTTGTCCATGCAATTATCTTACCTCTTCTACATCCCATTGCTATACCACTTGTTGAGTCTTCATTCTACTATTAGTTTTTCCAGCCTTAAGTCATTTGTTATTCTAACTCATACTATATGATGCTGCCAATTAATTCTCTAACAACTTTGATAATGTTTTTTTTTGTTCAATAATATAAGCTTAGTTCAATCTACAACTCAGATTGTCTTAGACACTCCTAAAGAAGACAGAATCAGTATTTCTCCGAGAGAGTTAAATTTCTTCTGCAAAAAGAGTTTGTCCAGGTAAACAGGTTTGAGACTGACAAGTTCCAGGGTGAGAAGTAAGGATGATCTTGGTGTAAAGTAGTTTATTCACTTAGGTTATCCTTGCCCAATACTTACTGACTGAGAGGACACATCTGTTAACTCAAGTGAGTTACACTCTATGTTTAATAAAGATTCAAACAATATTTCAAATAGTTCCTCTTACTATTCATCTAAATAAACACAATATTTCACTTCAATTATATTAGATAGTACATTTACTTTTCCAAAAATCCATTCATTAGCACATCTATGCACACAACATTTAATTACATTCCAGTTCACACAATACATTCTTCAAATGCAAAACTTTTTATTTTTCCTACAGTGCTTACCCTGTAGGATATGAACTCTCTTCTTATCTCCACACATTTGAATCCTATTGATAAGTATAATTCTTTATGACAAATGCATTGTTTTTGTTAGGTGCCTTTAAGTTGGTTTTGACTCATAGAGGCCCCATGCATAACAGAACAAAACACTGCTTAGTCTCTATATTTTTTTAAAATTTTTATTGTAATTCAGATGAAAGTTTACAGAGCAAATTCACTTTCCATACAGCAGCTCACATACACTTTGTCACATGACATTGACTGCAATTTCCCACAATGCAACAATTCCCCTCCCACTTCCTCTTCATAGTTATCTCTTCCCTGTGTTTATGCCTCCCATGCACTCCTGCCCCCTAAGCTGTCTCCCTGTGTGTACACTGTCCTTCTATTCTTCCATGATTGATCTCTCCAAGAAGTGTATCTACCTAATTTAATGTTCAGCTCATGTGCCTGTCTCTTGTTTGGTTGCAAGCCACATGAGTGGGCTCAGTTCCACACCTGAAGGGCAGCTAGGGCCCCTCATCTCAGTGGTTCCATCAGGTTCTATCAGACCAGCAAACCTGGTCCTTTTTTTTTTGTAATGATTTTGAGTTTTGTTCCACATTGTTCTCCTATTCTATCCAGGATCTCCTACACAGATCCCTCTCCTAGTAGTTGATAGTGGTAGCTGGACACCATCTAGGTCTTCTGGTCTCATAGTCATGGTGTACCAACTGCTTGCACTGATTTTTTTCATGTGTCTTTGGTTTTCTCCATTCTTCTTTGGTCTGGATGAGGAGAAACCCATTGGTGCATCTAGATGGCTGCTTGCAAGCTTTTAAGATCCCAGTCACTATTTGCTAAAGTAGGATGTGAAACTATGTTTTTGTGTAGTATGTTATGCTAATTGAGTTTGATGACCCCTGAGACTATGGTTCTGATCCCACAGGTCCAACTACTCACTCCCTCTGGGTAGCTGGCTGTGTCCAAGAAGTGACTACAACCTGTCCCTTGTCAGCTCTACTATATACCCGGGAATTCTCACAGAACATACAAATACACTGTCTGAAATACACTGAAACATTGTCTGCCAACCTTATGCATGGTCTTCGGCTCACTCTCCTCTGCATAAGCACACCTAGTAGTTCAGCCTATCACCCATTTATCTACCTGTACATCAATGTTTGCCTTCACTGACAACACAGTACTATGTGTGCAAAAGAGTTCATCTTTGTTGTTTGTACCTCCCATGAGTCTCTCTACATCTTCCTCTTCCTCAATGCCACCATGTTGATCACTTACATTTGGTACATTGCCATTCTTTTCACCCAAATCACTACTTTTCTCTACCTATCTAAAAGTGTTCCCTCTCCTCTCTTCCCACCTCAGGTGACCAACAAAGAAAATTTCCTTCCACATAAAAACCTTTCCTTGAGTTTTACAATAACAGACTAATACAATATTTGTCCTTCTGTGATTGACTTATTTCACTCAGCATAATGTCCTCCAAGTTCATCCATGTTATGT